GGCCCCCAGCGAGCCCTGGGAAACGGGCGGCCCCCACACCGGGCCCCCTCTGTCTTTCTTTTCCACATGTCCAGTCTGTGGAGGACTGAAGGTAAAGCCCCCTCCCTGAGGGCAGCCCGGCTGTGCTGCAGGGTGGGGTGGGGCCCTGGCAGGGCTGCCCTTCGTGCTGTTGGGTCAGCTGGGGGCTGTGCTCTGTGGGGCGGGCCTGGGGACCTGGGAGCCAAGCCTGCAGAGAGGGCCGTGGGACTTGAGGAGGTCCTGCTGGGACCCAGCTGCAAGTGCGTTCTGGAAGGCGGAGGCTCCGGCAGGGCAGGCTGGGGACAGCAGAGCCCCAGGGCCCGAGGAACAGATGCCCGAGCCAAGCAGGAACTCGAGGCTAACCTCCCTGCGCATCCGTTGTGTGTGTGACGAGTTTCACCTGCTTGCCCCGCGCCTCCTTCTGGAAGCAGCACCGCAGGTGGCCCACCCTTTGGGGAGGAAACTGAGGCTCGGGAGGCCTGGGGACTTGTGGGGTCTGGGTCTCAGATCTCCGGGACCCCCATAGCTCCCCCATGCCTCCTCCTGAACCTGAGTGCTCCCTGGGTGAGGGGCCGGCAGGGTCCGGGTCAGCCTGCCAGGAGCTTGTGGGAAACTGCTGGCCGCCTGGCTGAGCTGAGGGCCAGTGGTCAGGACCAGAGGATGCCAGGGCTCTGGGGGTCCATTCGCGCTCTTGGGCCCTAGGCCCTGCCCGCGGGTCACCCCTGGGCGACGTGCTCCCCCCACGCCCTCCGCAGTCGGCCTGCTCACCTGCATGGATTGCGGCTGCGTGGTTTGCGCTGGCTCTGCCATCCCGGGCGCCCCGGGGAGGGCGAGGCCCGTGTCCCTCTGACCTAGGCTCGGCCGGCTTCGCCCGCACAGCTCGCCTGTCCGTGTTCCGCTTTGTACCTTCACTGTTGGCTGAAGACGTTTGTTGCTCTTTCACATTTTTAAATCTGACACAGTTTGTAATACATTCTTAGACTGGAAATAAAATTGTTTTTTCTTATTGCCTTGTCCTTTTCCGTGGCCAGCTCTCTCCACCTCCCGCCCTGGCTCTCCCCACGGGGCCTTTAACTGTCTCTGAAATCCAGGGGCCTGGCCTCCCTTGACCTGAGGGCCACAGAGAGCAGCGGGAGGCCTCACCTGTCTGACTGGCCGCAGGCCTGGACACGCCGGAGGAGGCACGAACAAGGAGGGCAGCCTCGGGCAGCCCCCGGGGCCCAGAGCATGTGTGCGCATGTACGCACGTTTGTGTGCTGTGGCGGTCTGTGATGTGTGCATTCATCTGCATGTTTGTGTATTGTGTGCGAGGTGGGTGCACACAGGTGTGGCATGCGATGTGTGTGTGTGGGGGTGTGCATGCGTGTGCACGTGGCGTGTGTTTGTGTGCATTTGCGTGTTTGCACAGCTGTGTGCCTGCTCCTGTGCGTGTTGTGTGCGTGTTGCACGTGTGTTGTGACGTATGCTTGCATGCCTGTGCATGTGTGTGGTCTGGGTGATGTGTGCGTGCACATGTGTGGCGTTCTCAGGGAGGTCCTCTGTGGTCCCTTGGGCTCCCTGTGTCCAGGTGAGGGTGGACACTCCACTTTCTGGGCCAGTGAGGGGCCTGGCTCTGAGCCTGGAGTGCCCCCAACCCCCAGGCTCCCCCAGGTGTGCGGTGGAGCTCCAGGGACCCGACTTCCGTCCCCTGGCACATCCTGGGGGGCAATGCCCCACCCTGCCACACCCATTTCACCCTTGTTCACCACCCTTTTGGGGAGGGGAGCCCTAGTCCCTGTGGATGCTGAGGATGGGGGTCTGGCTGGGCTCTGCAGTGAGGGGAGAGGCAGGCATCGGGGGGCTGAGCTGGCACCCTGCCTACTGGCTGGGTGGCCCCCACAAGTCACTACTCCTGTCTGAGCCTCAGTTTCTTCTTCCATAGATGGGCCAACAGCCCCTAATTGCCTGGGCACCGAGGCCTCTAGATAATGTGTGTAGGTGCTCGGTGGGTGCTCAGTCCGACTGTCACCTCCCCAGAGAGACCCACCAGCCTGGCTGCAAAAGAAAGAGCAGGGCACTGCTGGTACCTCGGGAAAGGGGGTCACCCTGGAGGGCTGGGCTGCCCACTCCAGCCCGAGCCCTCGCCGCCCAGGCCCAGGCCCGCTGCACTCCCTGTGATGAGCACCCCCACCCCGTGTGAAGCAGGGAGGTCTGGAGCTGGGTGCTCTGCTGTCCTGTGCTCTGTGGGGCCTTCCTGGCTGTGAACACTGGTCTCCTTGACCGAGGCTGATGGCTGGGACTTCAGGGAAGGGCCATCTGGGGGGTGAGGCGGGAGGTGATAACTGTGGGCCGCCCGGGGGGGATCTCAGCCCGAGGCTGGAGATGGCATGGCCAAGGGCCTGAGTGCTGGAGGCTGGGCTGATGGCATGGAGTCCCCGCCCAGCGTGGGGGGCCCTTCCTGGGAGGAGCCACTAGCCGTCTGCTAGTGCGGCGAGGAAGCCCTGCCAGCGCCAGTGGGTGCTCCGCATCTCCCCATGCAGCCCGGGGTGGCCGGGGAGCGGGTGGGGCCCCGGGGCCTCTCCTGTGGGGCTGGGCGGGCCCCAGGACAGACACCTGCAGGCCGCTTTTGCCTTCATCCGCTCTCTTCCCTGTGCTCACTGTTGGGCCTTGCGCTCCTGGCTGGGAACAACCTGACAGGCTCCGGCTTCGTCCTGCTCCTGCACCCCGAGGGCAGCCAGCTTCGCTCCCCCTCCTCAGGACGGGGGCAGTGTGAGCGGGCTTTTCAGGTGCCTGGAGCTTCCTGCTGAGCGTCGGGGCTGGGGGTGACCAGAGAGTCCTCCCCGCCTCCCCGGGGCCATGTGCCTCCATCCGGTCCTGGTCCCCAGGGAGTGTGAACAGGAGGGCCTGCATTTGCTCATGACCCACGGCCCCTCGTTGCGTCCTTTGGGTTCAATGCTGCAGCTGCAGCTGCAGGACTGGCCCCTCAAACAGGTGGCATCTGTTGGAGGGCTCTGAGCAGTTAGTTGTGGGGGTTTCTCAAGGCAGTTGGCTCTTGTCCCAGGTTTCAGAGGTCAGATACACCCTCCCCAAGTCCCCAAGCCCGCCTGATCTCCTTTACACAGGAGGACGGATTTAGGCCAACCCGGGGTGCCCAAGAGCGCAGCCGGCACCAGAGTCAGGGAGCCGTGTCCGGAGTCTGGGCTGCACTGTTGCCCCCTGGAGATGGGGTCGGCTTGTGCACCCCTATTCCAACCAGCAGAGCCCCTGAGGCCCACTGCCAGGCCGCCGTCCCGGGAAGCACTTTCCTGTCACGTGCCCCCGGCCCTGGTGGGACCCATCTTCTCACAGGTTTGGGGGATGGAGGTCCAGGTGGCAGCGAATGTGCCCGCAGTGGGCCACCATGCCTTCCTCCTGATCTGCCAGCAGACCCGTCCCCCAGCTCTGAGGCCACCAAATCCCCGTCTTCCTCTGGACCCCTAGTCAAGCACCTCGAAGCAGCCACTCTGCAGCTCCCCCTGGTGGGGGTCACTCTGGGTGCCCTATTCAGAGCAGGGGGCAGGGCACAGGGCCGGAGTGATGTCACAGCCCTCGCACATCTCGCGGCTGCAAGCCCACCGCACAGCCAGCGGCACGTGAAGCCCTGCGTGGCTGTGCGCCTGCAGCGCGGTTTACAAGAACAGGCCGGTCTGGGCTTGGCCTGGGGCCTGGGCCGCCGAAGCCCCACCCCAAACAGGGCCACGCGTGTGTCGGGGCGGCCGGAACCCGGGCCACTCTTGGGGCGCATCCGGGCTCTCGGGCTGGGTGCAGGGTGAGCAGGAGCAGGATGGACAGACTGACACGGGTTCTCCTTGCTCTAGGGAGCCGCTGCCTCGCCCCCTGGGCTCCCGGTGATGCATTCAGGTAGGCCTCGTCTTTGGAACCAGCTCTCAAACAGCCACGGGTCAAGGGAGGTGGGTCAGAGTGGCTGCAGTCACAGCCCCACCAGAAAGTCTGTACCAGATACTCAGCAGTGGGGAGCGGGGTCAGTGGGAGGCGGCTGATGCTGGGGAGGGGGTGACAGTGGACAGCGGGGTGACAGTGGGCAGCAGGGTGATGACAGTGTGTAGCCGCGTGAACCCTGGCTGAGGCGGGGCGGGGCCAGGCAGCGAGTTGAGGACAGGGTGGCTAGGAGTGGCCAGCCTGCCTGGGACGGGTGTGTAGATGGAGTGGGTGGGGCCAGAAGCCTCAGCTTGTGAAAAAGAGCCTTGTCCTCAAGGCGACAGAGCACAGAGGTGAAGGGCGGTTCGGGACTCCCGGGAACCGGCAGGGCATTGGTGACCACGGTGGGGGAGGCCCAGGCAGGGAGAAGGGAGACCTGGGGTCTCCCTGGAGAAGCCTTGTTCAGAGGTGACAGCTGGGCAGACACTGGCTCTGACCAGGGGAAGGCCTGGGAGGTTGGCAGAGGCTGAAGTTTAGGGCAGGCTGGCCTTGGGCAGCATGGGGAGGGGTGGCTAGAGGTCAGGGGTCAGCTCTGAGCCTCATTTTCCAGCCTGGGGTGGGGCCCTAATGAGCTTAGAGCTTTTCATCTCCTCTTCAGAGGTGCAGGGTGCCTGTCTGGGGCCAGATTCAGGCCAAGCAGGCCTGTCCAGGGTGGACATTGTAGGGGGAGGAGTGGGAGGGGAAGGCCGTGAGCATGCAGAGTCAGACAGGGGTCACAGGGACACCCCATTCTGGCTGGCCTTGGGGTTCCCTCGTTCACAACACCAGGAAGTGGACGGTCTGCCCCGACAGTCCTGGGTGCCTCCCTCCTGCTGGCCACCCGCTACTCATTTTTTTTACCCAGACACAGTGTGTGTCCCTGGGAACGGGAAGGGGACAGGGGGACAGAGGTGAGTCAGGATTTGCTGGAGGACATGGAACCTTTCCTCCGGGGCCGGCAGCCTGGGGAGGAGGGGCCTGGGTCTAGGGGGAACAGAGATGAATGGGACCCCAGACAGTGTGGCCAGAACCACAGGGATGGGTGGGGCACTCAGGGCGGCCGCCTAGGGAGAGGCCCACCTGGTCTCTGCTTGGCCCGGAGAATGTTTGAGGCAGCTCCTGAGATGCTGGCAAGAAGCTGGAACTGAGGGAAGAGAGCAGGCGAAGGACAGCCTGTGGAGCGAGGGCTGGGGAGCAGCCACCAGAGGGGCACTGCTGCCTCCCAGGGCACTGCCGGAGGCCGGGGCGGGACGGAGCAGCCTTCCTGGGCTGCCTGGCATGACCCTGCTGGTGCCGGGCTGCCCAGAGCCCTCTGCCTGCTCTCCTGCTTCCGCTGTGGAAGACACAGGTCACAAAACTAGCTGCTGCGCTGCGGGAGCTTGTACCCCTGAACCCAGGGCAACCCCAGCTCTCCTTTAGGCATTCAGAGGCCCCTGTGTGGAGGCCAGGCCTCCTTGCTAGCACCCCTCAGCACCGTCTCAGCCCCCGACGGGCTCTCCCAGCTCCAACCAGGCCTTTGCCTCCTGCTTTACCTGCCAGCCCCTCTTGTCCTCCACCCCTCGGTACGTGCCCCCTTCTCCAGGCAGCCTGCAGGGATTTTGCCCTGGGCACCTCTGCCTGTTATCTCGGGCTATGTGGGAGAGGGTCTGCATCTGCCCTTCTGTGGGCCGGTGTCCACTGGGCCTGGTCAGGGTGGGGGCCTCGCCTGGTTTGTTGGGTGTATGGCTGGGTGCTTGGAGCCCACGTGGACACAATGTGATCCGGTTCTGCCTGGGGCGGGTGGGGGCTCTGGTTCTGTGCCAGCTGCCTAAGCCCTTCCTTGGCTGGTCCGCTGGGCCTCGAGGGTGGAAGACTTCTGGTGTGATGGAGTCTGGGTGCTATGAATGCAGCGGGTTTACAGAAACCCCTCACCTTGGAGTGGAGATTTTCTGGGTGTTGAAAACTCTTAGCCAGTTCATAGGGCAAGGCCAGCTCTGTGACCCCGACAAGCCCCGTGTGGCCCCGGGCAGCCCAGGGCCCCGTGTGGCCCTGGCCTGGACGCTAGGTGGTCGGACGGCCCTTGCCTGTGCTCCCTGCGGGGGGCAGCGGTCTCGGTGGGGGTGCCCTGCTCTGTCCCGGTTTGACTGGACCTTGCTGGCTTTAGCCCTAAAAGTCTCGCCTCCCAGGAACCCCTCAGGATGCTGGTCACCCCGTGTCCAGGCAAAGCCTCCCTCCTTCCCTCCCTGACCACTGACGCTGTGGGTCAGCTCCGGGTGCGGCCTTTCTTTGCAGGGGACCCTCTGGATCAGGGCGGTGGGTCCTCCTTCAAGAGGGGTTCTGATTCCAAGTCTCTGGAGGTGGGCGCAGGGCTCCTTGTGGGGGTCTGAGGCAGCTCCTGGGAGCCCCCTCCCCCGGCCTGGGCATTGGCACCAAAGGGCAGCCCGTCTGCCCGCGAACCCTCCCAGGTCCCCCCGCGGGGTCAGTAAGAACATGCGGGAAGAGCAAGCAGCTCCCAGCCGGCCCCGGGCGTCTGCGTGATGCATTATGTTTCAGCACAGCGGACGCGGCATCAACTGAGGGGGGCCTGTCCTCCGGGGCCCCAAAGCTGGGCGAGGCGGGGCGAGAGCAGGGAGAGAACCGTGTCACCTGCACTGGTTCCCGACATCACCTGGGTGAACCCAGGTGGACCTGGCCCGATCGGGACCTCGGTCTCTCTGACCCCAGTGTCCCCGCTGAGCAAGCAGGAGCCCCGCAGGCCTTGCTGGGGCAGAGAAGGGATGAGGTGAAAGGCTTCTGTGCAGGCGGGGGCCTTCAGAAGGCGCCCCACAGTGGTGTCCGGTGCCAGGACAAGACGGTGAGTGAGGTAGGGTCTGCCCACTGAAGCCCCTGGGCTGGCTGGTCCTCCAGTGCCCGTCACTGGCAGAACCAGGACCCTCCCCAGGCTCCACCTTGCCTTCCTGGGACAGGTGGGCAGTGGCTCAGACAGGCTGTCCTGTGGGTGTTTCAATTCCCCACCTGAATTCCACCCCCCAAAAATCCCATCCCCCTGAATCCCACCATCCACCTGAGCCCCACCCCTGAACCCCCCTGGGGCAGGGAGCTGGCTAGCCAGTTGGTCCAAGTGCCTAGACCTGGCCGTGTCCTAAGGTCAGGCCCTCAGGGAGGAGGGAGGAACTTGGCATTTGCCCCTTGATGTGGCATTGGGCCCCTACCCCATGTGTCTGTGCCCGGCGGGACCCAGAGGGCAGGCGTGTGGAGGAGGCTGCTGGTAAGGGGCCAGACGGCGGCTGGAATCCTTCCCTGCAGGACCCTGTGCCCAGTGGACAGGCTCTCAGGCAGGTCAGAAAAGGTGGGTGGGGTGTGGGTCCCAGGCACTCTGGGCCCCCACCTCCGCTCCTGTTGCGTCTGCCCCGTGTGCCAGTGGGGTGTGCAGGGTGAGAGCATCTACTTCTAGGAAATGGGCAGGGGGGGTTTCTCGGGCGGAAGAGGGGCTTGAAGTGCTGGGGGCCATTGAGAAGGACATGTCACTGTGGATGGAAGTATGGGCCTACGCTCGGGGAAGGATGCCCTGTGGGGATTCACCAGTCCAGAGAGGGTCCTGGAAGCCTGGAGCGGGGTGGGGTGACCCAGGAGGACAGCCGAGGGGGAGGGCTGGGGCGTGGACAGGGCAGGGCGTCCTGCCAGGGAGGGGCAGGGCACTGGGTTGCTGAGGAATAAGTGACTGGGAGAGATGGCGGAGGGTTGGGGCTGGGGTCCAAAGACAGAAGAGTGTGGTCGCTCGACCCCACAGGAGCCGCGGGGCCCGAGGGGCCGCGCAGTGAGGCGCACACCTACGCGAATGTCCCTGTCAGCCCCTCCTCCCCACAGCAGCTGCACTACTTGAGGCTGCAGCTGCAGGCGGCCAGTGCGGGCATCCGAGGTGGGTCCCACGGGCCCGATGGGGGTGCTGGGGGTGCTGGGCCTGTGGCACTGGGGGCCTCGGGGGCCCCGAACCCCGGGCATGTTGGCCCTCAGCCAGGGGCTCCCCAATTGCCCCCTCCTTCCTCCCGCTGACCCTGGCGCTTGGGCCCTTGCGGGTGAGCGGGGCGGGTGCAGCCCCAGCCTGTCTCCT